CTTTGTGTCGCTTCCCAGGATGCGGTACGTCGCAGCTTATCTTCTGGCCGTGCTCGGCGGCAACGAGTCTCCCACCTCCAAAGATTTGAAAAAGATCCTCGACAGCGTGGGCATCGAGACGGACGATGAACGGATGAACAAGGTGCCGTTGACTCGGAATTCGGCCTGGGCCTGCCACCCCATTCGCTGTTTCCTGGGGGTTCTTTCCAACCCATATGGTTCTGTTTTTTGGCTCCAGTGTTTTGTTCGTTGTCCTGCTCTTCTCAGACACTCGCTGCTCCTCACTTGAGTAGTTTCTAAACCGCCGCTGAACTTAACATTTAATTTTGGCTTATGGTCGGTATTGATTCAAAGCCAGTGCTTTTGGAGCCCTAATACTCAGCAATCGATTCTTATTGAGTGTGCTGCAAAGAATCATAGAATCTTAGAAACGTTAAGGGTGCAAAAGATCTTTAAGATAAAGTCCAACTTGTCAACTCAACACTACCAGGACTCCTAAGCCATGGCCCCAATGCCATATCCACATGCTTTTGGAACCCCTCCAGGGAAGGGGACTCCACCATCTCACTGGGCAGCCTGGGCCAAGGCCTCACTGCTCTGCCAGGAGAGAAATTCTTCCTCAGATCCAATCCAAACCTCCCCTGGAACAGCTTAATCCCATTTCCTCTCATTCTATCCCTGGTTACTTGGGAGAGGAGACCAACCCCCACCTGAGTTCAACCTCCTTTGTGGGAGCTGTAGGAAGCAGCAAGGCCTCACCTCAGAGAAGCATTTGTTTCTTCACCAAGTAACATGGGCAAGTTATAACATCATTTGGTGCTGTCAGTAATATGTGGGAAGGTTTTGGAAATGAGTGTTGAAATTCTTACATCAGGCTGCTTAAGAAGAGAGTATCTTAATGAGAACGTTTCTCATGGTCTAACAGGCTTTCAGCCTTGTAGGCTTAAATGGCTGTGGGCAGAAACAAACAAAGCAACCTTCATCAATTTGTTTTCTCTGATCTTGCAATATCTGGAAGGCTTCTCTGGAATTTATTTTGGTCCCTTTCTGCTTTCATTGGCTGTATTTAAGTTGATGTAAACCTAGTGAAGGTCTGAAGACACCCTCACTGGGGGGAAGCAAACACAGGGCCTCAGCTTTTTTTATTTGTTTTTAAGTGATTGCTTGTGTTAGCATTTTTTTGGGGTTGTTTTGCTTTCCTGCCCCTGGTTATAGAATAATGGTGGTAAAGCTGAAGCTGGGACTCTGTGTTCAGCACAAGGACACAGCAGCCAGCTGGGCTGTGACATTTGGCAGCACTGGGAGCAGGACCCTGTGGTTTCTGGCCTGGTGCTTCAGAGCCTCTTGGTGTGGGGATTAAGAAGATGCCAGCAGTCCCTCAGCGACTGACAGGCCCTTGGTGGGGTTTCCCAATTGGCTCCACCACATCTGTGTGTCCTCCTTTCTGCGAGGCCCTTGGACTCAGTGTGGATTTATTGTAACAGATTTCATGAACACGTTTTCACAGAAGGGTTGCAAAAGTCTTGGCTGAAGTTTTCACTGGAACATCCTGTTCCTTCCAGGGGGAAACGGGCAGCACTGGGGCTGTGGGAGCAGCAGGGGGGAGACACAGCCCAACAGCATCCACCAGTCCTGCTTAAACACAGCTTATGCTCCTGCTGCCTTGAAATGTGACGTTTGAAATCTAATTCACACAGGTTATTAGCGAGCTGAATGGAAAAAACATCGAGGATGTCATTGCCCAGGGTGAGTACAGCCCACGTGGCACAGGCCCCTGCTCCAGTGGGCTCTGAGGGGCTGGGCTGGGGGCTGGGTCCATTCTAACCCCCTGCAGGTCGGTGCCAGTACCTGCCGGGCTTCGCTTGTGGACCACATGAACCTGGAGAACTCCAGCGTGTGGGCTGCCTGGTGCTCTGCTCGTGCTGCAGTTTTCTGGACATGCCCTTGGGGGTCTCTGGGAGGGGCTCTGTTTGTGTGTACCCCAGTTCTGTAAACCAGGAAGAGAAGACTGTTCAAGGACAGGAGTTGACTGGGTCGTAGGGCTGAACCCAAGCAGAGCTGAGGTGGCACAAAGGTTTCTCCTTAATTTATCTCTATTTTTTTCGCAAGTGCGTAGGCACGAGGGAATTTTTAGGCACATGTTGGCTTAGAGGCTGCCAGGACTTTGCCAGGCCGTGCTGCCAGCAGCAGTGCCTGGACGTTTCTCAGTGTGGGCTGAGGATCTCAAGAGAGCTGTTACCCATGTGCTTACAACATGCTGAGGCTCTTTCTGTAATCTTGAAATAAATTGTCCCCTAGAACATACATATAAAACATGTTTGTTTATTTGGCTGGTGGATTAGGGTTGAAATAACAGGGAGTTACTAGAAACTGATTCCCAGTTGAAGAGCTTGAAGTAACAGGGAATTATTTAGAAACTGGTTTGCAGAAGTTGGAAGGCAGCAGACATACCATGTGTGTGACCTCTGAGTGGCCCGGGAGCCGTGGGCTGTGACAGGCAGGTGGCAGAGGACAAGCTGACTCTCCAGGGGTGGGCAAAAAGCAGCTTTGCAGATCTCAAAGGAGACAGGAGGTTCTCCATGGGGCGCTGGAGATGTATGTCTGGCCAAGAGGAGAGGATTTTAATCACATCTTCCCCCCTTCTTGCCTGTGAGTGTGGTCCAGTCGTGCCCTCATGGTCCTCTAGGTGGTTAAAGAGAGGGGGGACAGGGTGTGTGACACACGAGTGCTGCCCATATGTTATTTTTTAGAGGACTTTGTGTCCTGAAGCAAAGGAACAACGTGCTGTGGGTGCTCTGAGGATAGGCCTGTGAACCTCAGGCTGGGTTTTTCCCAGAGCAGCTAGCAGAGGTGTCCGGGGGGGCAGGCTCTGTCCTGCAGGCAGCAGAGGCAGGCTGGTGCCTGCTCCTGCCCTCCCTGAGCTCTCCTGTCCCCAGGTAACGGGAAGCTGGCCAGCATGCCCGCCGGGGGGGCCGTGGCCGTGGCCGCCGGGGG